GGGCTGGGGTGTGGCTCAGTGGTAGGGCACCTGCCTAGAATCCCCCAGTGAGGGGCTGGGAGTGTGGCTCAGTGGTAGAGCCCCTGCCTAGAATCCCCCAGTGAGGGGCTGGGAGTGTGGCTCAGTGGTAGAGCACTTGCCTAGAATCCCCCAGTGAGGGGCTGGGGTGTGGCTCAGTGGTGGAGCCCCTGCCTAGAATCCCCCAGTGAGGGGCTGGGGTGTGGCTCAGTGGTGGAGCCCCTGCCTAGAATCCCCCAGTGAGGGGCTGGGGTGTGGCTCAGGGGTAGAGCCCCTGCCTGGAATCCCCCAGTGAGGGGTGAGGCTCAGTGGTGGAGCCCCTGCCTAGGATCCCCCAGGGAAGGGTGAGGCTCAGTGGTGGAGCCCCCATCTGGCACAAGACCTGGGTCTCACTTCCAGCACCACAAAAAAAGCCAGTCCCAGACCTTTGGAGACTGAGGCTGGGACACTGCCAGAAAGCCTTAACCCGACAAGGAGTCAGACCTTGTCTCAACAAACAGCCCAGAAGCGGGGAGAGGTGAGAAGCACAGAGGGCTGACAAGCTCTCCTGTGCTTCTCTCAGGCTTGAGCTCAGCTCAGCAGGCGTCAGGGATTATTGGGGACAGGTGTGACAGGAGACAGGGCTCTGCTCAGACCGGCCTTGCTGGCTCTCTTCTCCCGCGTGGTTTTAATGAAGGGTTTGTTTAATTTCATTATGTAAGCCCTTCCGAGTATCTTCTTGCTGCAAAACATTAAACACACACTCAGGCACACACAGACACACACACACTCACACTAGCCCTGTGGGGACTGGGGCAGTCATTCACGTGGGCAGGGAAGCGGGAATGTGGCTGCAGAAATTCTTTTTTTAGATTTAAAACTTTTTAAAAAAGATTTACTTATTTTATTTCACGCGTGTGAGTGTTTTTCCCACCGCTGAGATGTTCTCTGGCCACACACGTCTTTCAGAATGATAACTCTGTGTCTCTTATTAAAAATCATTCGTGTGTGTGTGTGTGTGTGTGTGTGTGTGTGTGCAGGCACATGCGTGCAGTGTGTGTGTGCGTGTCGAGTGTGTGCAGGTGACGGGATGATCCTGTGGCGTCGCTCTCCCCCCTCACCCTGGTGGGGGCTTTGGGGACTGGACTAGGCCGTCAGGATCGCACACTGCAGGCGAGCACTCTTGTTCTTGGCTCTCAGGGCTTCGAGGCTGTCCTCAGGCACAAATGCAGACTGACGGCAGAGGAGCTGGGGGTGGGGAGGGGTGGTGGGGAGGGGAGGGGAGGGGGAGGGGAGCCCTCCCAGGCAGCCCAGCTTGCTTAGCAAGCTTCAGATCCCGGTGTGAGACCACATCAGCACCAGGCTCCTCTGTGGAAATGTTCTCTGCAAGGGGCGGCTCCTTGCTGGCCTGGGGGGTAACGGTTCCTGATGTCCTCTGTCCTCGGGTCCGCCAGGTTTACCCCCTGACCCTCCTGACCCTGACTCTCCCGAGCCCCTGACTCCCTGACTCTCCTGACCCCCCTGACCCCCTGACTCCCTGACCCTCCTGTCCCTCTGACCCTCCTGACCCGCTGTCCTCCCTGACCCCCCTGACCCTCCTGACTCCCCTGTCCCCCTGACTCTCTGACCCCTGATCCTCTGACCCCCTGACCCTCTGACCCTCCTGACCCCCCTGTCCCCCTGACCCTCTGGCCCTCCTGACCCTTGACCCCCCTGACCCTCTGACCCTCCTGACCCCTCATTGCTCTTGCCTCTTTGTTAACCTGGTGGCTGGGCCCTGTGTGGAGTTGGTGTTTGTATGCTGTGTGTGCAGCCTGCTCACCCGGCCCATGGCCTGGGGGGGCAGACAGAGGTCCGGGGGTGGGGTGATGAACCAGCTCGGAGTCTCACGGTTAAAGAAACTGCCCACCCGCAGTTCGAATCCCGTGGGCGTTTTCAGGGTTAGTGAAGGCTGCTGAGCAATGGTCTGCAGCGTGGTTAGGACTGCGCCTATGCCACCCTCTGCTGGTCGACAGGAGTATTGCAGGGGCTGCGTCCGAGGAGGAGGAGGAGGAGGAGGAGGAGGAGGAGGAGGAGGAGGAGGGAGGAGGGAGGAGGAGGGAGGGGGAGGATGAGGGGGAGAGGGAGGGGAGGAGGGGAAGGAAGGAGGGGAGGAAGAGGGGGAGGGGAGGAGGGAAAGGAGGGGGAGGGAGGGAGTGGGAGGAGGAGGGAAAGGGGAGGGGAAGAGGAGGGGAAGGAGGGGAGGAGGGGGAGGGGAGGGAGAGGAGAGGGAGGGGAAAGAGGAGGAGGGGATAGGAGGGGGAGGAGGAGGAGGAAGAGAAGGAGGAGCACGCCACCCCCTTTGCTCTCTGTGAGCGTGGAAATTGAACGTTTGCCTTGTTTCTTCTTTCTATAGTGCTCGGGCGAACAGGTTGTAGTAACAGATCATTCTTGTTAAATAACGAGAAGTGGGTGGAGGGTGGGAGAGAGGGGCGAGAGACTTCCGTTTTTCCTCTTGAGAAACTATTCAAGCAGGGCCCGGTGGGCCTGTCACCCCAGCGCTCGGGAGGCAGAGGCAGCGGATCTGTGGGTTCGAGGCCAGCCTGGTCCACAGAGAGTCCAGGACGGCCAGGGCTGTTTCTGTCTCAAGCCCGACTCCCCTAAAACAAACAGAGATTAAGTTGGTGGCAGCAGATGCCCAGCTTTAATCCCAGGCAGAGGCAGGAGGAGCTCTGTGAGTGCCAGGCCAGCCAGAACTGCAGAGTGAGGAGCAGGAAGAGCTGGGGTCGCCATCCAGGCTCTGCGATGGCGGGCCAGTGGCGCCCTCCGTGGACGCCTAAAGCCAGATCTCAGAGGGGACTCTGGGGTGAGGGGCACACTCAGGTCTCCGGAGCCCACAGGCCGCCCACCCCCAACCCTGGGGCACCAGGCACATGTGTAAAACACACAGCTTCCTTAGTCTCCTGCCTAGGGAGGGCGCCGCTCACGGGGGCTGCTGGCTCCGTGTGTGTGTGTGTGTGTGTGTGTGTGTGTGTGTGTGTGTGTGTATGTGTGCGTGCGTGCGCGTGTGCCCCTGTGCGAGCGAGTTGTGTACACTTGTGTAGAGAGGCCTCTCCGACTTGTCACTAGGGTTTGAACTCTGCCCCCAGATGTATCTGTCTGTAACCCCAGCAGTTGGGAGGCTCAAGTCCAAGGTTAGAGGGCAAGCTGAAGGCCAGGCGGTGGACAGGTGAGCGCAGGCCTGGCCGGGGCTTGATTCCATTTCAGCCTTAACTTACTGCTTCTCGGGTGTGTAGGCGCTTTTCCTGCTGTGCGGGCCTGGGGCCCGGGGCGCTGGAGCGGGTCCGTGGGCTGCAGGGCCAGCCGGCGTGAGCCAGGTGGGGCGGGACCCGGAGCCGGTCCTCCGGAAGAGCGGCCGCGCTCTAATCGCCGAGGGAGTGAAGGCTTCTGGGCTCTTTGGAAACTCGGCTGTGCCGTGTGGACGTGCTTTTGTGTCCGCTGCGGGATGTGGGAATGTTTTCCCCGTGGGGAGCAGCCCTGGAGAAAAGGCCCAGTGCGGCCAGCTGAAAGCTGCCTGGTGGGGTGTGGTCTCTGTGAGCTGCTCTGGGAACGTCGTCCCTGGTCCCGGCAGAGAAAGGCTCCAGGGGCCTGCCCCCTGCTTTGGTGGAGTTCTGCGGTGTGGAGTGCGGCAGCTTCTGCCAAGTCGCTCCGCTGCTGCTGGCGCGGGCTCCCGCTGTGGTTTCTCAGCTTGGCTGGTCTCCTGACGACTGAGTTTGGTAATTGCCAAAGAACCCATTGACTCTCATCAGCAGGGAGTAGATCAAGGAGGCCTACAACCCCCTTCCCTGCTAATCTCCAAGTGCAGTTGGGGGGTGTCGGAAGGGAGGTAGAGACATTTAAGAACCTTAAATAAAATAGGTGTTTGAAAACTAAAAGCCTGCACACTGAGCCATCTCTCCAGCCTGCAACTTACTTTATATTTAAAACACAAGAAAAAGGACGACTAGTGCTGTAGCTCAGTGGTGGAGCCCCTGCCTAGAATCCCCCAGTGAGGGGCTGGGGTGTGGCTCAGTGGTAGAGCCCCTGCCTAGAATCCCCCAGTGAGGGGCTGGGGTGTGGCTCAGTGGTGGAGCCCCTGCCTAGACTCCCCCAGGGAGGGGCTGGAGTGTGGCTCAGTGGGGGTGGGGTGTGGCTCAGTGGTGAGTGCTTGCCTACCATGTTCAAGGCTCCAAGTAGGGACACTGGTGTTTTCTGGCTCCTCAGCGATGCTGTTTCTTGCTGCTGCTGTTGGACAGGACCCTCTCTGGACCTGCTGTACACCTGCTCTCCAGCAGAGGGCGCCAGATCTCACTATAGATGGCTGTGAGCCACCATGTGGGTGCTGGGAATTGAACCCAGGTCCCTGGGAAGAGCAGCCGGTGCTCTAACCTCTGAGCCGTCTCTCCGGCCACGGTTTCAGATTTGAACAAACCCCTCACAGTAGACGAGTTGCTCCAAAGTAAATGAAGAAGGTTCCCAACATGGAGGAGAAAGTGCCCAAGACCCCGAGGAGGGGGGAGATGGGGCCTCTTTCAGGGTTGTGCGCTGGCCTCAGTCACGCTGGGGAAAAGGTTTCAAGTGAACCAACGAGTCAGCAATGAGATAAAAAGGGCTGCGCAGCCGGGGAGAGGGCTGCGGCCCTTGTAGAGGACCTGAGTTCGGGTCCCCACAGCCCCGGAGCAGGTGACAACAGCCCCTGTAATCAGGCCGCTGCTGATGGGTCAGGGCGGCAGGCAGACCCGGCGGCTGCGACCCTGAGGGCCTCGGGGCAGCGTGGAGGGGGACACTGCAGAGCGGGCGCGGTGCTGTCCGGTCATGGCTGAGCGGCTGGGTTTCCTTTGGTCAGGGGGACACGCGCTTGTTTGCCCCGCCAGCAAGATGGAGACGCTGTCGTCACGGCTGGACCCGCGCCTCCTGGGCACAGACGCTCCCAGCCGGTGGGGAGCCCCCACCCCAGGCCTGGACTTCGAGTTCTCCCAGGCCTGGACCTCGAGTTCCCCCAGGCCTGGACCTCGAGTTCCCCCAGGCCTGGACCTCGAGTTCCCCCAGGCCTGGACCTCGAGCCCCCCCCCCCAGGCCTGGACCTCGAGCCCCCCCAGGCCTGGACCTTGAGCCCCCACCCCAGGCCTGGACCTCGA